AAATTAAGAAAATAGTCGATTAATGTAAAGTTTGCAAAGAAAACAAATACGATAGACATCCTAATAAGATAGGCCTACAGGAAACACCTATCCCACAAATCCGGGACAGATTGTTCACATAGACATTTACATAACCGAAAAGACATCCGTATTGACGGCTATAGACAAGTTTTCTAAATACGCTCAAGCAAAAATTCTGAAATCAAGATCAGCAGAAGACATTAAAGAACCACTTAGGGAATTAGTCATATCCTTTGGAATTCCTGAAATAATAGTTATCGACAACGAAAGATCTTTTAATTCCAAAGCAATAGTTTTCATGTTAGAAAATCAGTACAACATCAAATTGTTCAAAATCCCGCCGTACAGTAGTACTGTAAATGGGCAAATTGAGCGGTTTCACTCTACACTGTCAGAGATAATGCGATGTCTAAAAGCACAGAACTTACACAAATCCTTCTCAGAGCTTTTACATAGATCCATTTACGAATATAATAACACAATACACTCAAGCATTCAAAAGAAACCAGTTGAAGCATTTCTTGGAAAAAGGGCAAACATGAGTCAGGATGATATAGAGAAAGAAAGATCCGAAATTGCCCAAAGGCTTAAAGAAAAACAAGCAGAAGATATTAACTACCACAATAAGAAAAGGACTCAACCAAAAACCTATACGCCAGGAGAAATCATATTCGTAAAAGAGAATAGGAGACTTGGGACAAAGTTAAGTAAGGCATACAGACAAGAAATAGTAAAAGAAAACCAAAATACAACTGTTATTACAGAATCAGGAAAAACCGTACACAAAAACAATATCAGAAATTAAGAAATCAAATATTTTCAGATTTTTATTCGCCACGGCGACCGCCTATGTCAAGATTTTGGACTATACAAACTCTCAAATTGTTGCGTTTGATTCCGGTTTGGCAAAAATTCAAGATGGTAACTTCAGGATAATTCATATCATTGACATCGACAAATATCAAGAAACAATAAATTCCCTACAAAACATCCTTTCCCAGAACATAACCAAACACCATTTCCTTCATCCCTTCCTAACCCATGAGCTGATAGAGATTCAAGGATACTTGGACCGTTTGAAGCCAAACGTGAAAAATAAACGATCATTGAATTTTATAGGTTCAGCGTGGAAATGGATTGCTGGAAATCCAGACCACGATGATTTTGAAATAATAACTCAGAAAACTAATGAAGTTCTAGAAAACAATAATAAACAAGTTGTAATTAACAAATTGTCATTGAGAAAAATTAATGAGTTAACACAAATAACTAATGAAATAATAAAAAGTATAAATTACAGTGATGTAAACAGAGATAGATTAAGTTCAAAATTAAAATAGAAATATTAAAACAAGAAATTGTAAATATTCAATACGCTATCCATTGGGCAAAAATAGGAATTGTAAACTCATTCATACTTTCATCTGACGAGATAAATATTATTAAAAATATAATTGAAAAAGATTCAATACCGTTTGTTAATGTAGAAGAAATCTTTGAATTTGCTCAAATAAAAATCGCAACTAATAATCAATCTATCATTTATATTATTAGAATACCAATGACAGACAACAAAGTTTGTAATAGATTATTACTGAAACCTATAAAATTTGAGAAGTTCGTCAATAAATTAAAATTCGAAAATGTAATAATGTGCAAACAAGATTTAAAATTATACGGAATCAAGAGTGAATGCATGAAATACAATAATATAAGTATCTGTAATAGCATAAACTTAGAAGCTATAGAGAATAACACCTGTATTTCTAATTTGTTAAATAGCAAGACATCGAATTGCACGGTAACTGATAACAAAACAGTACCAACAGTTGAAGAAGTTTCTCCAGGGGTAATCCTGTTAAATAATTTCAATGAAACAATCCTAATAAATAATGTTGCACAAAGACTTATTGGATCGTATGTCATCCAATATAGCAACACTACACTAAGTATTTCCGACAAATCATATTCCTTTTTTGAAATAAGCCATATTCAACCATTACCAGCGATTCTGCAACCTAGGGAGTCTGTTCTCAGTATAGAAGAGACGCTCTCTTTAGAGTCAATTAAAGAAATTCAAATTAGTAACACAAAAGCCATAAATTTATTGGGAGGCAAATACGAGTGGGGTCAAACCACAAATTTTGGACTTACCTCCTTCGCGATAATATTGATAATCGTTTTCATTATAAGGTCCAAGATCTGCAAAAGGGGAAAAGAAATTATACTCACCCCGTCTATAGCAGATTCATGTCCGTATGACGCACGTAATCGTGTTCCTATGCCGGAAGTAGTGGAATTGCCGGGAATACGAAGAATTTCTCATATTCCCTATTTTTGACCGATCGAGGACGCTCGGTTTAAAGAGGGGAGGAGTTAACGTTAACTTCTTTATTTCTGTTTCTGTTGCGCGTGCAAGTTCGATGGCACTTAAATATGCTTGCAAAATGCTTACAATGCATTCATGTCATTCATTCGTATAAACAACAGATAAATGCTTACATTTTAAGAAACCTAACTCTAAGAAATAATAAAATCAAAAGTGCTAACGTTGCACTAAATACATTGTCCAACAAAACTTAATTTTAAGAATAAAGGAAAAATAAAGTCAGTCCCATTTTGTCACTCGAAAAAGAACGTTATGTTTAATTTATATATATATATATATATATATATATATATATATATATATATATATATATATCTGAATTTATATATATATATATATTATATATATTATATTCTGTTGATTTGACATATTTGATGCATCAAAAACGGTATGAATGTCCGATTCCAACAAGTGACGGAATTTTGGTACAAAAATAAATTTGCAAATTATATTGAAATCGGTTCATATTTGGATATTGCTCCCATATATATTTTCAACCGCTTTCGTATGTTTGATACACCAAACACGATATATATCTCGAATTTCAATGAAATTTGAAATGCATGACTGATTTTGGTCTTAAAATAAATTTTGTCAAATTATATTGAAATCTATTCAGATTTGGATATTATTTTATTAAGAAACTTAGACCCACGTGGTAACAGAAACGCCGTTCAACAATTGCAATGACTTTTAATACATCCCAAGGACAAACTCTTGGCATGTTCCTGATTTTGTCATTGTCAGCTGAACCACAAAGTTGCAAAATCGGTTAAGAAATCCTTAAAATCAGATCATGAACTTGGACTTTTAAAATCCAAAAATAAGATTTTTTTAAAAAGTCGTACATTATTTTTTAAAATTAGGCTGAGAACGTAAAAATTCCAAAAAAGTTCCGAATATTTTTTTCGTTTTTTTTTTAATATCAAATAATTAATTTTATTAATATTTATCAATATTTATTCAATACACTTATGTTAATATTGTAGCCAGAGATTATTTTTTATTAATTGTTTACACTGCCACTCATGCCTGATGAAGAGATGATTCATTGGCTCCCACCCGATAACTGTAAACAAAAATACCAATAATGACCTTCAGGGGTTTGTTCAACGATTTATATATTTTTTCTATTTGACGTTTCCAAGTTCCATGAAGCCCTAATCTTAATTGGACAAACAATTGAAGTGTCATCGTTGTTAAAAAAAAAAAAAATAATAAATAAAATCCTTATCTCGAAAATAGTTTACATGCCGCCAATATAACAACCAATGAACGGATATGCACTCAAGAAGTTGCGATAACTTATCGATTGGAATAATAAAACTTTGATATAGCCGTTTAGTGCAGGGGAGAAAAAAAAACAGCGAAAACAAAAATAGTTTCAAACCCATGACAGTAAAAAAGCTGTAATTTCCGGGGCGGGCCGAACTTTGAATACCCTCCACCATTTGGTACAAATTTCACAATTTTCAAAAAAAAAAAAAAAATAAAATCCGTTGAAAATTCTGTTAAGGTCTATTCGACGACATGGACCAGCATAGGCAAGTTTCGTCACAAGCTATTACAAAATTCAATTGCGAAACTTCAAAAAAAAAAAAAAAAAAAAAAAAAAATACAGAATATCGGGAGGTACCGTTATATGGGGGCTATATGAAGGCGTGGACCTGCACAGAGAATTTTCTGTCATAGGATGTGGTATCCATTACGAACTTCAAATACCAGATTTAAAACAATTCCGGTAAATAATGTCGCTAAAATCATGAAAATATCGAATATCGGGAGGTACCGTTATATGGTGGATATACGAAGACGTGGTCCTACATTGCTCATTTTCTGTTTTATGCTGTAGTACCTATTACAAACTTCAAGTATGAAATTTGAAATAATTCCGGTAAATAATGTCGCTAAAATCATCAAAATACCGAATATCGGGAGATACCGTTGTATGGGGGCTATACGAAGGCGTGGACCTGCACAAACAATTTTCTGTCATAGGCTGTAGTATCCATTACCAACTTCAAATGCGAAATTTGAAACAATTCCGGTAAATAATGTCGCTAAAATCATCAAAATACTGAATATCGGGAGGTACCGTTATATCAGGGTTATACGAAGACGTGGACCTTCATGGCTCATTTTCTGTTTTATGCTGTAGTATCTATTACGAATTTCAAATGCGAAATTTGAAACAATTCCGGTAAATAATATCGCTAAAATCATCAAAATACCGCATATCGGAAGGTACCGTTATACGGGGGCTATACGAAGACGTGGACCTACATTGTCCATTTTCGATACCAAAAGCCCTGCAGACATAATACACATTTGAGTAAAATTTTATCAACCTACTTCATTTTGTTCGGAAGCTGAGTGATATCTAAAATGTATATTTCGAGGTGTTACAAACGGAATGACAAACTTAATATACCCTCCACACTATGGTGGAGGCTATAAAAATGCATTGCGAAAACAGGACCACATTAAATTAGTTTATAAAATTGGTTATACTCCCCCTTTCATACTTTCCGCAATGATTTTAATCTCTTTCTTCTCTCTCTCTCTCTCCCTTCTCTCTGTCTCTTTTCAGTCCGATTCGATTTGTCACAAATGCAACGAGGTGATTACCCAGCGCATCATTACGGCCCTGGGCAAGACTTGGCATCCGGAACATTTCGCCTGCAAAGACTGCCAACAGCCCATTCAGGAGGCGACATTTAACATCCAAGAAGGTGAACCGGTCTGCTCGAAATGTTTCCTCAAAAACTATTCTGGCACATGTCAGGCGTGTCAAAAGCCAATTTTGGAGGTATGTATGCAAAATGTATTTGTTATTGTTGTTGTTACTTTTAAATTGTTTGTTTGTCATTGAGACCTGAATGATGATGAGGTTGAGTCTGAATTACGTTATGTTTTGTTTATTTTTAGTGAAATGTTTTTTTTTTCGGTTGTTGCCTTAATTTCCCTAATATTTTTAATTTTTATTAATTGCTGGCTATTTAACCTATCGCTGGTGGCTGGTGAGAGATTACGCTTTAGTTTAATTGTATTAATTAAGAAATTCGAAACGAGCAAATTATCTTAATGACCGAATGAAAAAAAATATATAAATATAAACGGGTAGTAAAATTGGACAGATGTGCGATGGCTGGACAAGTTGATGATGATGAGTTCATCGCCCATTAAAAGGTATCATCACCAGCAGCATCAACATATAAATAAGATTTGATCATCATCCTTAGTATAAAAAAAAAATAAATAAATAATTAAAAATAAATAAAAAAGAAAGAAATTTTAAGGATATTATTTTTTAAGGCTATTTATTGAAGGACGTCATTTCTGTAGCCAGAAAATCCTTTAACGAAAGATAGAAAAGTCTTTGAATATTTTCTGAAGCGAAATAACTTGTTAATGTCTCCTACCCACAGAATTCCTTATAAAATACCTCCTCAAAGTATCGTGAGGACTTCCTAGCTAGATCCCTCTGGGACTATCAAAAGGTCTTCTAAAAATGTCTTAAATTTCTTCCATAGAAATGGGCTTCTTGAAGATGCCTATTTTCACAAGACCTTTTAGAAGAAGACATTTTAAGGATATTTATTGAATGACATAATTTCTATAGTCAGAAGATCCTATAACAAAAGGTGGATAAGACTTTAAATATTTTCTAAAGACAAAAAAAAAATTTCAAAATCTTCTAATGATAGGATTTTTTTCTAAGGTTTTTTATATAAAAAATACCTCCTCAAATTATTTTGAGGGCTAGGACCTTCTACAGAAAAAGGTCTGCTAGAGAAGAATTTGTTAAAATCCCTCTGAGACTATCAAAAGGTCTCCTAAAAATGTCTTAAATTTCTTCCATATAAAGAAGCTACTTGAATATTTCTATTTTCACAAGAGCTTTTAGAAGAAGAAATGTTAAGGGTATTTATTGAAGGACCTCATTTCTATAGCCAGAATATACTTTAACGAAATAAAGAAAACCCCTTGGATATTTTCTAAACAATAAATAACTGGTTAAGGTTTCCTATCGACAGAATTCCTTCTAATGTATTTCTGGTTTCCTATCCAGATGTCCTTTTTAGGACTATCTACAAAAAAGGTCTGTTAGAGAAGAATTTTTGAATAACCCTCTGAGTCTATCAAAAGGTCTTCTAAAAATGTCTTAAATTTATTCCATAGAAAGAAGCTACTTGAAGATTCCAATTTTCACACGACCTTTTAGAAAAAGAAATTTTAAAGGTATTTATTGAGGGACATAATTTTTATACCCAGCAGATCCTATAACAGAGAAGATTTTAAATATTTTCTAAAGACAAAAAATATTCAAGGTCTTCTAATAACAGAATTTCTTCTAAGGTTTTTTTTATATAAAAACATACTTCCTCAAATTATCTTGAGGGCTAGGACCTTCTACAGAAAAGATCCTGTTAAAGAAGAACTTTTGAACATCCCTTTGAGGCTATCGAAAGGGTTTTTAAAAAATGTCTTCTATGGAAATAAGGGAATTGAAGATTTCTATTTTTACAAGAGCTTTTAGAATAAGAAATGGTAAGGATATTTATTGAAGGACATCACTTCTGTAGCCAGAAGATCCTTTAACGAAAGATAGAAAAGCCTTTGAATATTTTTTGAAGCGAAATAACCGACAGAATTCCTTTCAAGGTATTTCATATACAAAATACCTCCTCAAAGTATCATAAGGGCTTCCTAGACAGATGTCCTTTTTAGGCCCTTCTACCGAAAAAGGTCTGTTAGAGAACAATTTTTGAACATCCCTCTGTCTTTAATTTCTTCCATAGAAAGAAGCTACTTGAAGATTCCAATTTTCATATGACCTTTTATAAGAAGACATTTTAAGGATATTTATTGAAGGACATAATTTCTATAGTCAGAAGATCCTATAACAAAAGGTGGAGAAGACTTAAAATATTTTCTAAAGACAAAAAAATTCTCAAGATCTTCTAATGACAGAATTTCTTCTAAGGTTTTTTATATAAAAAAATACCTCTTCAAATTATCTTGAGAGCTAGGACGTTCTACAGAAAAAGTCATGTTAAAGAAGAACTTTTGAACATCCCTCTGGGACTATCAAAAGGTACTCTAAAAATGTTTTTAATGTCTTCTTAAAAGTTTCTATTTTCGCAAGAGCTTTTAGAAGAAAAGATTTTGAGGATATTTATTGAAGGACATCATTTCCATAGCCAGAAGATCCTGTAACGAAAGGTAGAAAAGCCTTTGAATATTTTCTGAGGCGACCTTGTTAAGGTCTCCTACCGACAGAATTCCTTATAAAATACCTCCTAAAATTATCGAAAGGGCTTTATAGCCAGATGTTCTTTTTAGGACCTTCTACAGAAAAAGTCATGTTAAAGAAGAACTTTTGAAAATCCCTCTAAGGCTATCAAAAGGTCTTCTAAAAATGTCTTAAATTTCTTCCATATAAAGAAGCTACTTGAAGATTTCTATTTTCACAAGAGCTTTTAGAAGAAGAAATGTTAAGGACATTTCTTGAAGGACCTTATTTCTATAGCCAGAAGATCCTTTAACGAAAGATAGAAAAGCCTTTGAATATTTTCTGAATCTAAATAACTTGTTAAGGTTTTCTTACCGATATTTTAAGTAAAAAATACCTCCTCAAATTATCGTAAGGGATTCCTTGCCATATGTCCTTTCTAGGACTTTCTACAGAAAAAGGTCTGTTACAGAAGAATTTTTGAATATCCCTCTGAGACTATCAAAAGGTCTTCTAAAAATGTCTAGAAAGAAGCTACTTGAAGATTTCTATTTTCACAAGAGCTTTTAGAAGAAAAAATTTTGAGGGTATTTATTGGGGGACATAATTTCTATAGTCAGAAGATCCTATAACAGAGAAGATTTTAAATATTTTCTAAAGACAAAAAATGTTCAAGGTCTTCTAAAGACAGAATTTCTTCTAAGGTTTTTTTTTTAATATAAAAAATACCTCCTCAAATTATCTTGATGGCTAGGACCTTCTTCAGAAAAAATCCTGTTAAAGAAGAACTTTTGAAAATCCCTCTAAGGCTATCAAAAGGTCTTCTAAAAATGTCTTAAATTTCTTCCATATAAAGAAGCTACTTGAAGATTTCTATTTTCACAAGAGCTTTAGAAGAAGAAACGTTAAGGACATTTCTTGAAGGACCTTATTTCTATAGCCAGAAGATCCTTTAACGAAAGTTAGAAAAGCCTTTGAATATTTTCTGAATCTAAATAACTTGTTAAGGTTTTCTTACCGATATTTTAAGTAAAAAATACCTTCTCAAATTATCGTAAGGGATTCCTTGCCATATGTCCTTTCTAGGACTTTCTACAGAAAAAGGTCTGTTACAGAAGAATTTTTGAACATCCCTCTGGGACTATCAAAAGGTCTTCTAAAAATGTCTTAAATTTCTTCCATAGAAAGAAGCTACTTGAAGATTTCTATTTTCACAAGAGCTTTTAGAAGAAGAAATGTTAAGGACATTTCTTGAAGGACCTCATTTCTATAGCCAGAAGATCCTTTAACAAAAGTTAGAAAAGACCTTGAATATTTTGTAAAGACAAAATAACTTTTTAAGGTCTTCCAAAGACAGGTCTTTTCTATACAAAATCTATCTTCAAATTATCTTAAGGGCTTCAAACCCTTTTTAGGTCCTTCTACAGAAAAAGGCCTACTGAAGAAGAACTTTTGAAGATCCCTCTGAGACTATAAAAGGTATTCTAAAAATGTTTTCTGTAGAAATAAAAAACTTGAAGTCTACTGCAGTCATAAGAAATTGAAGATATCGTCCATAGACCTCCTTAGAAGGTCTTCTATGGTTGGACTCCTTTAAATAGTCTCTTGGACGGAGCTGAGTCTTTGTAGAAGACATTCATAGACGCCTTATGGTAGACATTAACAAACTCCTTAAAGGAGTATAGGCTCCTCAAAAAAAAAAAAAAAAAAACTTTATGTGCTCCTCAGAGACTCCATATGCACTCCACTTGTAGTCTTTAAAGACTTCTTTCAGGAGCCTCCAAGGTTTTATTTGAGAAACCTCCAAGAACTCTTGTTAGGAGTCTTTCAGGACTAAATTTTGAAGTTTGAAGAGTCTTTAAGGACTCGTTTGAGTAGTCCTGTAGGTCTTATTTGAGAAGTATTAAAGGTCTCCCTCTCTCTTTCTTTTAGGAGTCTTCAAAGACTCTTTTCAATACTCCTTGAGGGATTTGTGTAGGCTATTAATAGAGTCTTTTTTTAGGAGTTTTTGAGGACTCTTTTTGGAGTCACTGAGGACTCCTTTGAGAAGTTTTTAAAAACTCCTTAAAGACTTATTTAAGGTGCCTCCAAGGATTCCTTTATGAAGCTTCCAAGGTCTCCTGTTAGGAGTCTTTAAGGACCAATTTTAGGAGCGTTTAAGGACTACTTTGAAGAGTCTTTAAGGTCTGCTTTAAGAAGTCTTTAAAGACTCCTTGAAGAAGATCCTTTGAGGTCTTTGAATATATTTTGTGCAGTTTGTATAAGCCATTAATGGAGCCTTTTGGAATCCATTTGGGATTTTTTAAGGAGTCTTTTAGGACTCTTTTGGAGCCATTCATGACTCCTGTTGGGAATCTTTGAGGACTTCTTTGAAAAATCTTCAAATACTCTTTGTTTTAGTTGAATGAGTATTAATTTTGGAAGCCTTTTAGGAGTATTTAAGGATATATTTTAAGAACCTTAATAAGCTCCTATATTAGGACTTCTTTGACTAGTCTTTAAGGACTCCTTTGAGAAATCTTTAAGGTCTCTTTGAGAATTATTTAAGGTCTCTTCGAGAAGTGGTTGCGTAG